TTGTAATATCCCAATAATTCGGTATTGATAAAACGTATATAAGCTTTGACAATGTTCGAAATACCACGAGGTCATTTTTATAAACAATTCATGAACTCAAAATCCTTTTTACTTGTAAGTAACCGGTGGCAAACTGTCAAACCGGTGTTATTTAATGGAATTTTTTCATTCATTCATTCATTACAGCCCTTCACAAGTCCACTGCTGTACATAGGCCTCCCCCAAAGAATGCCACAAAGGACGGTCCTGAGCCACCTGCATCCATCGACTTCCTGCATGTCTTACCAGGTCGTCACTCCATCTCGTGGGGGGACGCCCTACACTTCGCCTACCGGTACGAGGCTGCCACTCGAGAACTTTTCTTCCCCATCGGTTGTCGGTTCTTCGAGCTATATGGCCGGCCCACTGCCACTTCAGCTTACTAATCCGTTGGGCTATGTCGGTTACTCTGGTTCTACTGCGGATATCCTCATTCCTAAGTTTATCACGCAGAGAAACTCCGAGCATAGCTCTCTCCATAGCTCGCTGAGCGACCTTGAGCTTCCTCATACGGCCGGCAGGGAAGGACCACGTCTCAGTTCCGTAAGTCATCACTGGCAACACGCACTGGTTGTACAATTTCGTTTTAAGGTTTTGAGGTATGTCTGACGAGAAGATGTGTCGTAGCTTCCCGAACGCTGCCCAGCCGAGTTGAATCCGTTGATTGACCTCTCGGTCGAAGTTGGCCTTACCTAGTCGGACTATTTGTCCCAGGTAAACATACTCGTCAACAACTTCGAGCTTAGTGCTCCCTACAACTACCGGCATAGGTGTGACATGGACATTAAACATGATCTTTGTTTTGTCCATGTTCTTCTTAAGACCTATCCGTTGGGAAACACTATTGAGGTCATTGAGCATAGTGCTTAGGTCCTCCAGCGATTCTGCCATAAGGACTATATCGTCGGCAAATCGAAGGTGAGTGATGTACTCGCCATTGATGTTGATACCGTATCCTTTCCAGTCCAGAAGCTTGAAAACGTCTTCCAATGCAGCAGTGAAGAGTTTCGGGGATATGACGTCACCCTGTCTTACACCTCTCTGCAATTGGATAGGTTTCGTACTCTGGTTCTGTACACGGATAGCCATCGTAGCCCTACTGTACAAGCACTTCAACACTTCGATATACCGACAGTCAACTTGGCACAGCTGAAGGGACTGCAGCACCGCCCAAATTTCGACGGCATCAAAGGCTTTCTCATAGCCCACATACGCCAGACATAGTGGCAAATTGTACTCTTCGGACTTCTATACAATTTGCCGAAGGGTATGTATGTGGTCTATGGTGCTAAAGCCCTTTCGGAAACCGGCTTGTTCGGGAGGCCGGAAGTCGTCAAGTCTGCGCGCGAGACGATTCGTAATGACTCTCGAAAATAGCACGTAGACGCGGCTCAGAAGGGAAATCGGTCTGTAGTTCTTCAAGAGAGCGTTGTCACCTTTCTTGAAGAACAAGACCACCGCACTTCTGCTCCACGCCTCCGGTGTAATGCCACCATGGAGAACGGAATTAAAGAGCTTCTGAAGGACTTCAAGTACCGGTCTTCCACCCGCTTTCAGAAGCTCCGCTGTAATTCCATCCTCGCCTACCGTTTTTAAGGTGCTGGAGAGCCATTCTAATCTCGCTTAGACTGACGTCCGGGATATCTTCGGAATAGTGTCGGATGAGACTCGCTCTTGCATCGTTACTCACACTTGCGTGTGGCTCCAACGATGATGTGTACAGCTGCCCATAGAACCTCTCAATCCCACTCAAAATCTCAGGTGTCCCGGAAACGATGCTGCCACATTCTGTCTTCAGCTTTGACAGTTGGCTCTTTCTGGCAGACAGATCTCTGGCAAAGACTTTGGAGCCTTGATTCCGCTCGATCGCTTCTTCAATACGAGCTGTATTGAAGTTGCGTAAGTCCCGCCGCATGCATTTGGAGATCTGTCTGTTCAGATGCCTGTATGCTGTCAAGTCTGTTGAAGAATGTAGCTTCATCTCCCGTCTAACAGCCATGAGATTAAGAGTGTGATCGGAGAGTTTTTGTGTTCTTCTGCGGCGGGTCTTGCAGAACTTAGCTCCGACCGCATGGACAGTTTCCACGAGCTTGTCATTCATATCGTCCACTTCATTGCAGTCTTCTAGGCACTGAAAACGGTTTTGTAACTCGAGCTGAAAGGTTTCGGGACTTTGGAACAGAGCACGAGGGGGACGGAGCGTTGACTTCATTAGACGAGACCTCTCCAACTTAACGTTTAGGTTCAGTGTGCCTCTAACCATTCGGTGATCGCTACCAGTTTTCACCCTCGCGATCACGGAGACATCACTGAACAGTTGTCGTCTGGTCGTCATAATGAAGTCAATCTCATTTTTGTCGAACCGTCGGGGCTCGACCAGGTCCACTTACTGTGGGGCCGCTTCTGGAAGAAAGAGTTCATCATAAAGAGTCCCTCTTTCTCCATGAAGTCGGCCAGCTGCTGGCCCCTTGGGTTCCGTTGCCCTATTCCAAATTTCCCTACTTTCAGCTCGTCGTTCTCTCTTGTGCCTAGTTTTGCAACTTTTTCAACTTTTTCAACTTTGAAGTCTCCCATTAACACCGTATATTGGGTTTTGGGGGAATGCATGGCTCTAGAGATATCCTCATACATTTCCTCCACCTCCTCATCGGGGTGTGCCGAGGTTGGTGCGTAAACCTGTATGACCTTCAGCGAATACCGTTTGGTGATTCTGAGTATAAGGTACGCAACCCTCGTCGACACACTCCCGATCTTTACAACGTTGTTAACGAGAGACTTGTGGACGATAAATCCGACACCTCCTTGGGACAGATGGTCGCCCTCCCGGTGATAGAGCAAGTTGCCGGATTCGAGGATTACCGTGTCCTCCCCCTCTCTTCGGACTTCGGATAATCCTATAATATGCCAGCGCAACTTGTCTATCTCTTCTTCCAGCTCCACGATCTTCTCGTCAGTCCTCAGGGTGCGTGTGTTGTACGTTGCCAGGTCGAGTCGTCTAAGGTGGCAACCGAACCTCCACCGGAGATTCTTAGCACCCCCTGCCCCGCCGTTACCATGGTCGCCACCGTAGCCAGGAATAGCGGGGCCGCCGGGGACTGGGGGCCGTCTGTTTGTTGCTTTATTCATTGGGGGGTAATTTGTCATAGTTGCCGCGCTTGGCGAGCGGGTTGGCAACCGCAGTTTTTTTATTGTAATTTTGGCTATTTTCAGGAAGATGCTGCTGCCCATCTCCTGCCTGTATCCCTTTGTCGCCTTTTACGACACCCACGGGAGGATTTGGGGTAGTGGATATTCTTGACCGCCACTACACGGCAATTTAATGGAATACGAGTATATAATATATTATACATATATACAATTGGATTTATTTCTTTTTTATTTATAGAATTTGAGTGACTAGCGAACACACAGCCACCTGATGTTAAGAGGATGCTGTGGCCCATGGATATCTACATCTATCCTCAAATAAGAATTAAAATACAAATAAGTTGTCACCCGTGTAGTCGAAGATGGAATGCCTCGTTTCCAGTAAAATGGGTCTCCGGTTCTCTACACTCACCATACGAAACACGGCATTATTCTGCAGTTTTACACTGGTTTTGTGGGAGCGTGGTCCTATCCCGGTCGAGCCGAGATAATATAATTGCAGTGTCTCTAACACGTAAAACTTCTTTTAAAGTCTATACTTTTTGAAATAAAGACCATTAACATTTATGTCGACCTACTAACAATAGTTTGATTACAAAAACATCTCTATCAATCGCCTAACTACCTGCTCTGGTCTGAAGTGCAGCTAGTCAAGGCATTCTGTGCGCATGACAAACGTGTAGAGGCGGTGTAAGATTATGCTCAACCAGATAAAGTTCCGTGACTGTCGTAAAAGGTGACAGAGCGGAACAAGCCAGGTGATGGGCAGCAGCTTTTTTCAAATAACAACTAGAAAACAAAAACCTGCGGCTGCCAAACCGCCTGTCAAGTGGGGCAACGAAAATGTCAACTTTATGATGCAGTCAAAAAAATGAGTAAGGCCTTATATTGAGGAGTAAACTTATATAGGCTGTGATGGATGAATGATGACAAACGTGTGTTACAGTAATCTGTATTGAGTGACAGCAGAGACAGTTGATTGCTGTAATTGCACGCTGCATGCACCACTGACAGCTACTCAGTTCTTTGTTACTTCTTTGTTTTTTTAAACCTCCTAAATCCTAAATCTATTCCCATTTATAACAGACTTTGTAGAAGGAGCTTCACAAGTCAAGTGTATTTTATGACTAGTATTTTTTACGCGGTAGAGCCACGCTGCAGCTATATTGTGCTTGTAGCACGAATGGCTCAGACCGACACAATACCAGTAAGAAATAGCATCTTAAAGCTGCTTTTTCGTATGGTGAGTGTAGAGAACCGGAGACCCTTTTTAGGGTTCTGTACCAAAAGTGTAATCAACGGGACCCTTTCACTAAGCGGGCTGTATCTCATGATCCTTAATAGGTAGACAGTTAAAATATTCACAGAATGTGTATTTCTGTTGGCGCTATAACAAATAATAATAAAAAAAAATTAAAGGGGGCTGCCCTACTAGAAACGTGTTTTACGATGATGACGAAATCCTTCATGCGCGAGCCCGACTCGCACTTGGCCGGTTTTTTTTTGGGAACGAGGCATTTCATCATCTTGGTGCTCAGGAGTGACAACGCATCTACATTTTGAATCTTGATCGAGGATAGATGTAGATATCTATGGGCTACAGCATCCACTTACCATCAGGTGGACTGTGTGCTTGTTTATTACCCTTATTCTATAAAAATATCAGTGGCCCGATTTTTTGGTATTTTATTTCCAAAAAATTATAGAGATATTTTCGTCAAATAACGACGACCGATGATTCAAATAAACTTTTGAAATGGTCACGAGAGCACGAGCGTGTGTGTGTGTGCGTGTGTGAGTGCGGCAGTACTCACGGACGGTGAAGTTGCGCGAGGCGTAGGCAGCGCTCTCCTTGTCGTGCAGCAGCGTGAAGGCGTGCAGCTGGTAGGTGGCGCCGGGCGCCAGGTCGCGCACCACGTAGCTGCCGTTGCCGCCCTCCACCGTGATGTTGCGCGCGCCCTCGCGGGCCTCCGTCAGCGGGATCACCTGCACAACCCGTGTGCCGTACAACTCACACATATACACTTCCATCTATACTACAAACATTTCTAACATTTTAGAATAAGTACTGTGTCACTGCTGTGGATCGCGCAGGCGGGTAGTTGGTACGGTAAATATGTCACGCAATTGTATTTTCATTTACGACAGTTACTGTTTTTAGGCAATTACGAAATAAGGTTCAAAGTATCGAAAATGAATTTCATATCACGTGGACAAAGTGCGCACATAAATAATGACAGCGTTTTTAGTGACATTAAACAAAATCAAGTTTAGATTGTCGGAAACAACGTTCGCGGTTTACAAAACAAAGAACTAGTCTTCTCGGCCGCTCGCAGTCGACTAAAGGAGCTACGGAGAATTGACCTTAACTTAGTGCGCAATGTATTAAAATTGCAGGGCCCGTCTAGTAGTATACATAGAATTCTTTTTAACTTGCCTAGTGCTTACACTATAAGTTGCCTTGAAATGGAACATAAAACTCAAACCTTCATAGAGATAAAATTTGAGTCTCATCAAAAAGAAAATCTCTTTTAACTTTATAAAGTTAAAAAAGATTGGTCGCATGAATATGTAAAACCGAAGCGGGAGAATATAGCAGATGTTATATATTATAGTAGCTTCTTTTTCCAGGTCTTTCAGAGACACCGTCTGAACTGTGTACACCAAGTGATAATGTACTATTTCAGGATTATTTTAGTGGCAAAACCACACTCAAGGGGGAAAGCGGCTATGGCAAGCGAAACACGGATTTTCGACCAATGGTCTACTATAAGACCATACTATACGTCTATTCTAAACCATATTACATTAAACAAATTTTGACTTGAAGTTTGACCTTTAACTCCATTGAATACCGGTTGTTGCAGTCGACAACAATAATAAAAAATAATTGAATTGTCCACAGTAGTTTCCGATTGCGTCGCCCTTCACTTCAATTATCTATTGTCAATAATATTTGATACCAGTTTCTCGACTCCATTAGTAATTCATTCTTGGTGCAATATATACACTATTACAACAAAGGCCCAGAAAATATACAAGCTCTCTCCATTACTAAGTTTAAATATTTATTAAATTAAAACTGTATAAAAAGGATTACTATAACCCCTGGGAATGAGGTGGTCACTTCCAAGCAGTTTCTCAAATAATTTTTTTAAATAGTTTGTAAAACCATTCATGTAAAATGTTATTACGGATCGCCGTAACGCCGTTCGAAAAATGAGTGAAACACGTTGGTCTTGCTTACTACTGGAGGCAAGCGGCGGTGAGGAGGAACTTTTTCTTTTCTTTCTTGTTGTTTTCTTTACTGTAGCTGGAGAGCGACTGCCGACCGTTCCGAACGGCCCGTCTTTTATACGATTCGACCATTGCTGGCCAGCGGACCCTTGCCTCACCCCCGCGCCTTTCTTTATTTGGCAAATTTCTTATAAACTGCTGTACAGACTTAAATATATTACATTTTTATAATTTCTTATTTAACTAATACTTATATAATAATTTTTCTACATAATAAAGGTTAAAACGTTATTATTCCAGCAATTTTGAACTGAGGACCCTGCCCCCCGCCTCAGCACTATAAATATAAAACGTCGTGGCGCAGCGCGCGTAGCCTCATTCGCTCCGCGGCCGCGTCACGGTAACATGCCCTGTTTATTATTTATCGTGCCTAAGGGCTTAACATATATGAAATTAAATTGAACTATACAAGGGAATATACTTTACACATAATACTTATTCTATAATTTGGTATTGATTAATTTCTATATCCTAAATCTATGTTAACTCTCGCCAGTTGGTCAGTGCCTTTATTGCGAGAGTTATTACATAGTTACAATATCATTTGTTTACCAATAAATGCTATATTCATTAATATCAATGCTACGGCTTTTCCCGCGTTGCTGTGGGCAACCACCGCTAGTTGTGGAACCGTGAGCGCGCCCCGACGATCATAACATTCTCCTGGCTCCGCCCACCGTCCCCAGGTTGTTCAACTAGCGATGGTTACCACAAGCAATCCGTAAGTCATTTCGTTCGAGGTATTGCTATGTTTGCGTCGTGCACATTCTCCCGCCGTCGCCACGCTGCGATCCCTCTGGTAGCACGACGATCTTCTTTGTCGGTCTTCGTAGTACATGCCCCGTGCTTGTGGTTACGTCCACTCCTCGTACCTCTCCGTCGACGCCAGGATACACGTTGCTGATTTTCCCCTTGGGCCAGATGTTGCGTGGTAGATTGGAGTCACAAATGATGACTAGGTCCCCAATCTTCGGCGATACGCCTATGCTGCTGGGCTCCTGCCGGTGTTGGAGTAGGGGCAGGTATTCCTTTACCCACCTTCTCCAAAACACGTCGGCCAGGGCTTGAGCTCGTTTCCACTGCTGGCGGGCCGTCACGTCACTCTCGCTGAAGTGTCCCGGCGCAGGAACGTGCGAGTTGGGACCGATGATAATGTGATTCGGCGTGATGGCTTCTGGGTCTCCTGGGTCGACTGAGACGTATGTGAGAGGTCTTGAGTTGACCGTGTTTTCGACCTCGGCGAGCAGGGTCACCAAGGTCTCGTCACTGGGATAGCGCTCGTTGAGGGTGACGCGTAGAGCTTCTTTCATGGAGCGAACCATTCGCTCCCACGCACCGCCCATGAATGGTGCTGATGGTGGTATGTACTTCCACACAATTTGTCGACATGTGGTTTCGTGCTCGAGGGCTGCGAGTGCTGCTTCGGCCAGCTCCTTGTCGGCTGCCTTGAAGCACGTAGCTTTGTCACTCCATATTTCCTTTGGGCATCCTCTTCTGCTCATAAAACGTTTGAGCGCCGATACGGCTGAGTCAGCGCTTAAAGAGTGGGCTACCTCTATGTGTATTGCTCGGGATGTCATGCAGGTGAATAACGCGCCATAGCGCTTTTCACGATGTCGTCCCACTGTGACTTCTATTGGCCCGAAGTAGTCCAGTCCGGTGTATGTGAACGGACGTGCGTGATGAGCGAGACGTGCGGACGGCAGGTTCCCTGTAGATGGTGATGCAGGCTTGGCTTTTCTTAGACGGCACGGTAGGCAGCTTTTGACGACAGTTTTCACCACTGGACGTATTTTTCTTATGTACAGTCTCTGACTTAATTCGTTCACGACTGTTTCCACGCCTCCGTGATGCAACCTCTCGGGTACGTGGGTTATGTACAGACGAGTGTACGCGTGCTTCCTGTCTAGTATGGGAGGGTCGTACGTGTCCTCTTCTACTTCTGATGCTGCTTTTATTCGACCTCTGAGGCGTAGGGTTCCCTCTTCATCGATGTATGTGCTCAGGTGGCCTAATTTGTCGTCACCTCCCGGAACACTTCGGTTGGCGATCCTCTTGAGCTCCTTCGTGAAGCTTTCCCGCTGACTGGCTTGCACCCACAGTTATTCGGCTCTTGCGTGATAAGCGGCCGGTATTCCTACAAGTGATGAGACAGTAGGAGTTGCCTTTTTCTCCTTGGCTGGGGTGTTGCGTTTGTTTGTTCTTTGCCAGCCAGGGTCGCTATCTTGTCTTGCTCGGTTGCGTTTACGCCCAGCCTTCACCAAGTGCTTGTTTGGTCTGCACATGTCGATGAATAGGAGGACTCTCGCTGTCGCCCTTATGAGGCGAATCCATTTCGAAAATCTGTCTATTTGTGGCAGATGTGTTGTAGGCGAGTCTACCCTTTTAACTGCGATGTTACATACTTCTCGTTCTTCCCCGGTGTCGTATTGTGTCGTTTTCTCTTCCTGCGGCCATTCTGCTGGTGGACGTTGCAGAAACGGGGGCCCTCGGAACCACCGGTGTGTCTCGTTGAATCTTTCTGGCGTGGATCGGGTCGCGTCGTCTGCCACGTTTTCTTTAGACGGTAGCCAACGCCATTCGTTCTTCTTGGTCGTATCTTCTATCTCCGCCAGGCGATGAGCGACGAAAGCTTTGTACGCGCGAGGCTCCGATCTTATCCATACCAGTGCTGTACGAGAGTCGCACCAGTATGTCTTGCCCGCTATATCACCATCGTGCTCATCGACCACGGTCTGCGCGAGACGAGCTCCCAGCAGTGCTGCTTGTAATTCGAGCCGTGGTATGGAGACTGGCTTCAGTGGTGTTACGCGGCTCTTGGCGGCAGCCAATGATACGTTAACGCTGCCGTCTGCTCGCTCCGTTCTCCAATACACGGCTGCTGCATAGGCCTCCTCGCTTGCGTCGACGAATGTGTGTAGTTGGCGCGTCGACACCGGGTTGTAATCGTAGCATCGCGGTATTCTCAGTTGTTCTATGGCGTTAAGTGAAGTAATCCAGTCTTCCCATTTTTCTTTTAATTCCGTGGGCAGAGGGTCGTCCCAGTCCGCCTTGTAACGCCATGTGTCTTGGAATATTCTCTTCGCTGGGGTGGTCACTGGTGATATTAATCCCAGCGGATCAAATAAAGTCATTATGACGCTCAACGCTTCACGTTTAGTTGGCAAGCGTTGTTTTTCTTTTACGTCGGCAGGCATCTTCATATTGTGAGTATTAAATCCAATATGATCGCTTTGTACATGCCAGAGCAGGCCGAGCGTATTCTCAGTTTCTTTTCCGCCCAGGCTCACGGTCGCGTCGTGTTGTTTATGTTCTGTCGTTATTTCTTCTATTGTTTTCTCTTCGTTCGATGTCCACCCGCTGAGTACGAATCCCGCTTGTTTGTGGACGTGATCGACTGCTTTTACCGTTTGCTGAGCTTCCGTGACAGAGTGGAAGCTCTGCAAGTAGTCGTCCATATAGTGATTTCTTTTTATGGCGACCGCAGCTTCTGGGTATGCTTCTGCATGTTCTTCAGCATTTTTATTTTTGATGTATAATGCTGTGCACGGTGATGATGTCGCTCCAAAGATGATTGATGTCATCCTATATTCTTCCGGTTGGTCCTCCCGCCGCTTGCCTCTCCATAAGAAACGTAAAACGTCGCTATCTTCTTTGCGCACGTTAATCTGCATGAACATTTCTTTTATGTCGGCGCTCACTGCATACGGATACTGTCGGAACCTCATGATTACTCCGGGCAATGATTGTAACAAGTCGGGCCCCGAGTGAAGCATATCGTTGAGACATATTCCGGCTGTCTTCGCTGCGGCGTCGTGCACCAATCTCGGCGGCTTGTCTGGTTTCGCAGGGTTGATGACTGGGAAGTGTGGCAGATACCATGTCCTTCCTTGCGGCGGTGGCATGGGCGCGCGCTCTGCGTAACCCGAGTTGAAGAGGTTCTGTATGCGTTCTTCGTACTGTAGCTTGAGATTGCTGTCTCGGTCGAGCCTCTTCTCTAAGGTGCGCAGGCGCCTTTCCACGTCCTTGTAATTATTTGGTATTTGGAAATCCTTTTGTTTCCACAACAACCCTGTCTCGAACCTGCCGTCCGCCGACCTCTGGCTGGTTTCCCTCAATATTTGCATAGCTCGCTGCTCGGGATCTTCTTTCGGTCTTCTTGGCTCGATGCACAGCGATTCCAATTTGAAATAATTTTTTATTTCCTCTTCTATCGGCTGTGTATCTTCCCTCTGATGTAGTCTGCCGCAGAAGGTGACCGTCGACGTCAATGAGCTATGACAGCCATGCAGAACCCAGCCCAGGTTGGTGTGTGAGGCGACTGGTTGGTTTCGACGACCGACGCGCAGTTTTCTAGACACTATGAGGTGCCAGTTATCTTGTCCGATTAGTATTTTCGGTGAGGCGCGTTCGTAGGTGATATCTTCTTTGATATCCCACAGATGTTGGCAATTCTCTAAGTGATTTTCATTCACGGATTCTGGCGCGAAGTCCAAACGTTCTACCGTACGCGCTGCTTCTATGTTGTGTTCTTCTTGCGCGTACTTTCCTCTTATTTTAAGGCTGACGATCTTGCTCTTCTCATGTTTCACCTCCGAGCCGACCCCTTGTATCCACATTGCGTGGGCTGGGCCGTCGGCGCCGATGACGTCAGCGATTGAGGCATCGACTAAGGTGACCGTGCTTCCTTCATCCAATAATGCGTATGTCTCGACGCAGCTTAGCGGCCCCCTTATTGTAACGGGCGCAATCTTTAGATAAGCGCGGCGTTGCTTGTACGGTTGAGTCGCTGTGATGACCTCCCTTGCCGATGTTGCGGTTTCCATAGCGGGTTCCTTTTCAATCTCTGCTGTTCTATCGTGATGCAGCAATTTATGGTGTTTCATCATGCATCCGCCTTTTCCGCACGGTGGAGCTTTACACAGCAACCGGCGATGTTTTCCTCGCAGACAGCGGTAGCAGATATTATTCTTCATTGCTACTTCCCATCTGTCATTAGTGGACAGAGCGGCGTATGACTTGCAATCGGGCAGTTTGTGTTCTTGTTTGCATTGAGGGCAGCGTTCTTCATATTGTTTCTTGCTTGTGGCGAAGGCACGTTCTATTTTTCTTGGTCTTCGCTCTCTCGTCTCGCTGTCCTCTGCTATGAACTCCGGCAAGGCATACGCGCTGCATTTGTCCGCTTCATCGTTTAAGAACATTGATATCTTCTTAAGCTCTGGGATATCTTCTTTCTTCCTGGCTGCATAGTCGTACCATTTGCTTCTCAATATGGGCGTGAGTTTGTCTGTGATAACTCGCGTCATTTCCGGACTATGCAGGTAGTGTGCTTTCTTGAGTGCTTCCACGGTGCCCACTACGTTTGCTATGCGATTTGCGAATATGCATAGCTCCCTGGGATTGTCCGTAACTTTATTCAGCAGCTTCAGCTTCTCTATTTCCAAGTGGATTAACGCTTCTGGACGTCCGAATCTTCTTTCCAAAGCTTGCATTATCAGGCTGGGATCTGGTTGGCTTATAAGTAGGCAACCGGCGGCTTCTTTTGCTGTCCCTTTTAAGCTTCGGCGTATTCTCGCTATGTTTTCGTTCATCGTGAAGTACTTTGAAGATTCTTCGTACGTTGTTTTAAAGCTGAGCCATTCTTTGCTGCTACCATTGAATGTAGGTAGCTCTTGCACATATTTCGGCGGCTCCCTTGTGCTTCGTACTGCTTGTGATAGAGCAGCGGCTAAGGTAGCGACGTCGATTTGTTGCTGCGCCTGCCCATTATCTTCTTTCTGCGGCGCGGGTTGTGATGCGAAGTGCGGCGCGGGTTGCGGCGCGGGCTGCGACGCGGGTTGCGATGTAGACTGCGGAGCGGGTTGCGATGCGAAGTGCGACATGGGTTGCGGCGCAGGCTGCGGCGCTGGTTGCGATGTAGGTTTTTCTTGCAACCATGTACTAATGCGTACTGATGCCAAGTCGTCTTCTATTTCTTCATCTTCGTCATCGGTTGATCCGACTTCTGCTTGTAATCGCTGCACGTGTATTTCTTGCAATTCCGTTCTTGCTTGCAACTGAGCCTGCTCGAGTTTGAGTTCGGCTAACCGCTCTTTCGCCTCTAACTCCGCGAGGAGTCTTTAGCGTGAGGCTACGGAGCGGCGCGACCTCGTCTCGTCGGGCCTTAGTGTGCGCTGCGATCTTCGATCCCTCTCTCGCTGGGTTTCTTCCGTTGCGGCCGTGTTATCGGTCGCAGAGGTAGCGGTTGTATCGCTGACCGTTGTGGTTTCGCTCGTGGTGTTGGATGTACCAGTAGCGGTTGAATCGCCCCCAGAGGCCTCTTCTGTGGCCCCCTGGGTTATTTGTTCATCCTTGCGACGCTTCGATGATTCTCCGTTGTTACTACGTGTAATCACCATTTTTCTTCACGATAATATTTTTTCGTTCTTGCGGTTTGCTTCTTTCTTCCGGCAATACCAAGACCGATATTGTCTTTTTCTTCTAGTAATCCGGCTTCTCGAAGGACCATTAATATTACGGATCGCCGTAACGCCGTTCGAAAAATGAGTGAAACACGTTGGTCTTGCTTACTACTGGAGGCAAGCGGCGGTGAGGAGGAACTTTTTCTTTTCTTTCTTGTTGTTTTCTTTACTGTAGCTGGAGAGCGACTGCCGACCGTTCCGAACGGCCCGTCTTTTATACGATTCGACCATTGCTGGCCAGCGGACCCTTGCCTCACCCCCGCGCCTTTCTTTATTTGGCAAATTTCTTATAAACTGCTGTACAGACTTAAATATATTACATTTTTATAATTGCTTATTTAACTAATACTTATATAATAATTTTTCTACATAATAAAGGTTAAAACGTTATTATTCCAGCAATTTTGAACTGAGGACCCTGCCCCCCGCCTCAGCACTATAAATATAAAACGTCGTGGCGCAGCGCGCGTAGCCTCATTCGCTCCGCGGCCGCGTCACGGTAACATGCCCTGTTTATTATTTATCGTGCCTAAGGGCTTAACATATATGAAATTAAATTGAACTATACAAGGGAATATACTTTACACATAATACTTATTCTATAATTTGGTATTGATTAATTTCTATATCCTAAATCTATGTTAACTCTCGCCAGTTGGTCAGTGCCTTTATTGCGAGAGTTATTACATAGTTACAATATCATTTGTTTACCAATAAATGCTATATTCATTAATATTAATGCTACGGCTTTTCCCGCGTTGCTGTGGGCAACCACCGCTAGTTGTGGAACCGTGAGCGCGCCCCGACGATCATAACATTCTCCTGGCTCCGCCCACCGTCCCCAGGTTGTTCAACTAGCGATGGTTACCACAAGCAATCCGTAAGTCATTTCGTTCGAGGTATTGCTATGTTTGCGTCGTGCACAAATGTACTTCAAAAAAAAGTCCCGCTGGGTTTCTTGCTGGTTCTTACCAGGAGAGAGGGTTTTTTTTCGAACCAGTGGTAAAGTAAAAAATGACTTTCAATAAGAATTACACATGTGATGTACATTGAATAAAAAAATATTCAATTCTATTCTATTTGTACACTAATGCCGGGTTTCTATATTTAAAAACGCTTCGCTTCTTCGCTTTGACGAACCGTTTTGGAGCAAACGAAATGCTTGAAAACCGTTTTTTAAAACAAAATACCAGTTTAACTATTTGTGAACCATTTAAAGATTTTTTTCATTTTATGTCTGTATGAATAGTTCATAATAAAAACTATTTTACATGCACTTCTTATGTAAAAAACGGATCTTTACGGAGAACGAAACGTATCTTGAATATAGGAACCGGGCATAAGTGTAGGTATCACTTGTCAGATACAAGAGTTCTGACATTAATATAGACTCCAACACCTTTAGTCAAGTTGGCCGCAGTTTTTATTAATTGTTGTTATAGAAAGACGCTGCTGCCTATGATATGGTGTAGTGGTATTCTTACTCCGCCACTACACGGTAATTCAAGGAAGTGCCGATTCTGTTTCTTAGTTATTCGCTTACTAAATCTGCTCATTCAAGTGAATGTTGCTATAATTGGACCAGATAAGTGTAAATCATTCCATTAATATAATTTAGGGAAAGATTTATTAAGCTCTAGTGAAGTGGTGAAGCTGTAACTCGTACCTTGAACCGAAAGCCGGTGTAGTCGCCGTGCGCGGGCGGGGACCAAGTGATGATCGTCTTCTTGTTGCGCCCCTGCGTCACGTTCAGGTTCGTCGGCGGCTCCGGCGCTAGTACATAAAACATTGCAATTTAAATTAAGTCATACGTTAACAATAGCTAATACGTTAACTGCTGTTTTATTTTAGACTTGCAACGAATATTCGATATTCGGCCTATTCGGCTACTTTTCTACCGACTTCAAAAAGTAGGAGATACTCAATTCAACTGTATGCTTTTTTATGTGTGTTACCTCATAACTTTTTTCTGGGTGAACCGATTTCGATGATTCTTTATTTATTTGAAAGCTGGCGATTCTCATGTAGTCCCATATAAATTTGATCAAGGTCTGAGCAATAATTTTTGAGTTATTCTTAATAATTTATATTGAAGTCGGTTGTACAAAACTTTTAATTTTCAATTATATCCTATTTGGTCGAACACCGAATATCTATCTAGGTACTATTCAGCCGAATACTTAAGTAAAATGTTTTTTGTAGTCGGATAATTGGTAAAATGAAAATATTGATTTATTTTATAATAATATTTCATAATAAACTTCCGTATTATAAAAATTAACAAAAAAAGATCTATCAAATAAATGTCTATGCACTTGAATGATTCAACGATAATTATTATCGTAATTAAAATGTAGAAGTGGAAGATAATGGTGCAGAAAGATTATATTTCTTGCATTTTCAGGCAGTAGCTCACTCTTTTTCTTCTCGTAGACAATCCCAGCTATAGAGAAAAGACGCTCTGACTTAACACTACTTCCTTCCCGGCCGAATATTTTTGCCTAATATTCAGCTATTCGGCGAGGAAGCCCGCAGAATATTCGGTATTAGGCGTGTGGCCGAATATACTAGAGATGCCGCCACAAATATTTGGTTTCTATTCGGTATTCGGCCAATCCGGACACATTGTTTAAAATTGGGCCGAATAATGAATACCAATTCATGAAAAAAAAAATCTTTTTTTATAGGAGAGGTGGCAAACGAGCATGCGGCTCACCTGATGGTAAGTGACTACCGGCGCCCAAGAACGACTGCAACACCAGGGGAATTGCAGATGCGTTGCCGGCCTTTTAAAAACAGTACGCTCTTTTTTTTTGAAGGAAAAATCGCTGGTGGTAATCGATCCACAAGGAAGTTGTGCGAGGAAGAAAACTTCTTCTAAATCGCTGTGGTGGACCGCCAATCATCCAGATGGTATAGATAGTACGGCGAGTTTTGTTGCGATATGCGATGGTGAAATTGAGCGGCTGGAATTTGTCCGAACAATTCCTGCGAGCACTCCCCGTGGTAGATGCGATAAAATAAGCAAAGAGATGCAACATCTCTACGCAGTGCCAGTGAGTCAAGCCGATCGGAAAGAACTCGGTCGTCGGCGATATGAACCTCTCTGCGCTGGATGCGGTCAAGTGGAAGGAGCTGGCACTGGGGAGCCCCTGGCCAGATATGGGAACAGTATTCCATGTGGGGCCGAACCTGCGCCTTGTAAAGTTGCTAACGGTGAGCCGGCATGAAATACTGTTCCGCTCTGCTGAACACGCCAACCTTTTTAAAGGCTAATTTGGCCTTCTCTTCCAAGTTACCACGAAACTGCACATCACTCTATATGTCGACACCGAGGATTCCGATATTGGCTGAGGCAACAAGGGGAGTGCCTTGAAACTGCTCGGCGACGTTTTCCTGAGAAATATTGGCACGGCCGGTGTAAAAACATCACCAATGCTGTCGTCGGCATAGCAATGTATGTTACCAGTTTGCTACATATCATTGATATGCAGAAGAAACAGCGTTGGTGATAGCACGCAGCCTTGTGGAACACCAGCGTTTATGGGCTTGTAATCGGAGCATGCACCGTCAACTACGACCTTGATGCTCCGATCTGCAAGAAAACTGATGGTCTAATTGCACAATTTCTCGGGAAGCCCATGGAAGCGCTTTGTGCGAAACTCGATCGAAGGCTTTTATTATGTCCAAACTAACAGCCAACGCCTCCCCCTTGGACTCCACTGGCCGGAAACCGTACTGGCGGTCACTAATCAGCTGGTGATCCTCAAGGTACCGCATGAGCTGGCAGTTAATAGTAGTTTCCATTACTTTGGAGAACAAGGACGTGATATCGATAGGCCTGTAATGGGAGGGATCTAAGCGGTCGCCTTTTTTAGGGATCGGGGGCACCAAAGCTCTCTTCCATGAGTTCGGGACTACGCCTAGGGAGTAGGAGTATTGGAAAAGACGTGTTAAAACCGGTGCCAACTCCAGAGCACACATCTTCAGCACAATAGGTGGGAGTCCATCAGGCCCACTCGACTTGTTGACGTCCAGGGAGAGGAGTGATTTGCGCACCGAGCGCTGTGTAAACAGCACTTCCTGCATGGAGCAATCACACCGCAGGATAGTCGGCGGTATATTCCGCCCGTGATCGAGAGTGAGTTGGAAGCAAAGAGAGAGCATAGCAGATCGGCTTTCTCCTTTGCGGCATGGACCAGTGAGTTGTCTACCCTGTGCAGAGATGGCTGACAGAAGTTTCCTAGAACAGCCTCTGCGAGTAATAAGAACTAGTTCGCCTCCCGAAGGTTTCTCGCCAATTCTGCCGATGTGCTCTGACTTTGCCTTGGCAATGATACTTTTGAGGGACCTGGAGGCGGAATTATACTTCTTTTTAAGAGCACTGGTGTTTACATCCCGGGTCGTTGATGTATCGGCCCACACGCATATTACTTAAAAATGAATATATTTTACCAACAAAACATTACAATTAATACTTATAATATCCGGTCACGCTCCGGATATTCGGTGTTCGTTGTTCGGCAAGATCACTATTCGTGGCATCTCTAAAATATACTATTCGTTCCAAGTCTAGTTTTTTCTTTATCAGCTCCTCACAGTCCACAGCTGGATGAAGGCGTTTCCCATTGTAGGAAGGAACTGCCTTAATCGACGCCTTTGACCGACAGATCTTCAATCGTAGAAACGGGATGTCACGCACCTTTGTGAACATTACTGGTCGCCGTTTTCACTGACTTACCAAGACAGATCAGTCTATCGGAGACCACGAGGCTTTTCTAGCCTTTCTCATACTCACAGAACACTGTCCGGCAAATTGCAGACTAATTTTATTACCTTTGTTTATTTCATATAATTTGAAATTAGCATTAACTCAAATACCATACGTGCCGGTTCATCAAGCCCTGCTCACACATACTGATAAGATAATCAAGGCTTTATTAAGGGTCTCCTGATGAAGACTCCTGAATTTCTGTGACTGCGGGGTTTTCCTTGTATTTAGTTTTTGTGTAGAAAATGGAGAAACACTGGTGTCCGAATTAAATTTTCACCTATACACATCAATATCTACTATATAGTGTAGAAAACCAGAGACCCATTTTACTGAAAACGAGGTATTCCATCTTAGTCCTCAAAGGTGAAAACGCATCTGCATTTTTATTCTTAATTGAGGATAGATGTACACGTCTACGGACCACAGAATCTACTTATCATCAGGTGGACTGCGTGCACGTTTGCCACCCTTATTCTATAAAAAAAAAGTCCAAAGATTAAAACCCAACTGCGTAATTTAAAAAAAAACCCAACTCCGTAAAAAAGTTATACCCTATATCACTTCCACAACTAAGACGAATCTGACGACATCCCATATTATGTTGAAATTCATCAAGTCGTTTAGGCTATAGAGCGTGACAAAGAAATAAACATACATACACTCGAAAAACATTACCCTCATTCTGGGGCAGTCGGGTAAAAAGACTTATGGTTCCTCTACACTACTCGCGAAGTAACTTCGATGAAGTGCTCGTCGAAATCGATCGCAGTCCGAAGAACGTGACCACACACCCGTGCTACTTCGCGAAGAGCTCAGTCGTCTTAAGTCTCCCGCACCGTTAACATGAATGACGTTCAAGAGGCAGCTGCTATAGGTACCCAATTGTGTGAACAGTACGACGTCAATGCGTTAATTAAATAAATAAACCTAGCAAGCTAACAGCATAGCAAAGTGGCGAAGCAATCAGCTTTGTAGCGGTTTCTAACGGTTGCCGTTGAGCAATCAGTTTCAAAATAGGAGGTTCAGATGCCTGGGTGATCAGTAATCGATTGCTGAAAACAGAATTTGAAAATTCAAAACCGTTCTCGAGATAATCGTGGGACAGACGGACAGACGGACAGACATCGTGAAATCAATAAGTGACTTCGCAAGCTTCGCCACTTAATAATTATGTAGGAAGTTACATATTTAATATTTATATATAAAAAAAATATATTTATAACTAGCGTACGCCGAGGAGTGTAGTGAGACGCTTCGTGTAATTTCGGGATACTTCGCGAAGTCCTTTGACTCTAGCGCAAAAAACTGACAGCGATCGGAAGTCGCCCGAGACGAAGCGAGGTTGGACGAAGTGAATCGAAGTACCTCTCTACACTATTCGCCTCGTCCAACTTCGATCTACTTCGCGAGTAGTGTAGAGGAGGCATTAAAATGGTGACTTTTTGAATCTTTCAAGGCAAAACCTAAATGCTAATAACTGAGACTTGAACAAATACGTGATAACTCACCGGTGACGATGGTCTGGTTCCAGGTGAGCAAGTCGGCGAAGGTGGCGTTGGAGTAGTAGAGCATGAAGTGGTACTTGGTGCCGGGCAGGCCCTGGAAGTTGATGGTGGAGGCCCGCGCGGGCACGGTGAAGTTGGGCGCGGGCGAGCCGTGCGGCGGGAAGTAGTCGAGCCGGTAGCGCGCGCCCGCCGCGTCCGCGCCCGCGCCCGACGCCGGGATCTCGATCACCAGGTCCGCGGCCTGGGCGCCGGGAACCGCCCTCTGGTACCACCACAAACATATTATTATAATCACATTAAGGATCTTTTTTTTATTATTATAAGCTAGTGCTTGACCACAATCGAACAATTCTGGTGGTAAGTGGTGATGAATCCCTAGATGGTAAATTGTCACTCTTTTAACGTAACAAAAGCCTATTTACTCCTGTCTTGAAAAAGCCCAGATTGTTTTCGGACGGGAAGACGGACGAAGGGAAATTATTCAACTCCTTCGCAGTAAGCATTACGAATGACGAAGCAAACCGTTTGGTTCTAATGCGTGGAATATCGACAACAAAGGGGTGACGAGCCACCGACTGCCTGGTTGTCCGATGGTGGAAGGAAGAGGGAGAATTTAAAGCATGTCATTCCTGCGCACACTCTCCAAAATGCATCCTATAGAATACCGAGAGACTATTACCGCTAACCGTGGTGTGTCTTTCCTGGTGTAGTGGTGTTGGGATCAGTGGTGACGGAGATAGTGCACGCAGTTGAGGGAGTTCGGGAGACGCTCTTCAAACTAGGTAAGACATATAGTTTTATTTTATTACGTGGATCTTAGCTAATTATAATCACATTTTTTCTAAGGCATACAGGTTTTATAGTTCAGTAGTAATCAGGTACTTAACTTTATATAGGCATAGGATTGTAGTTTTCAAATCAAATATTTTTAATATTAATGTCAATGTGGTGTCTCATACCACAGTACAGATGATCGGTGATATTACGAAACTAATAAGAAGCTGGAGATTGCTTATTTCGGGCAATCTCTTATTGTTTTGTGTGTAAAGAAACCAAGTGTCGGCTAGAGAAATTGGGTAGCAAATTATGGATCACGTTATTGCTGTCATTTTGTTGTTTATTTACAATATTCGTTTCTTGGTTCGATCGTGGGTCCGTCCATTAGTTCGGTTGTGGACCAGTCTATTTGTTATCCATAGTCTTTCTACATCTTCGTAACATTTAAAAGTACTAATAAATCATCATCAATTATCATACGAAAAGTAATAATTCCACGCGAACGAAGTCGCGGACATTGGTACTTGCTGGTACAAAATAAATTTCGCACTACACTGTTTCATTACTTTAAGTCAACTCCACATTATTATTATTTTATTGTCTACTAGCTTTTCCCCGCGACTTCACCCGCGCGTAATTTCTTACGATTGGATTTCATAGGTTTAATTTTTTGCATGGAACCCTAATTCTTTTTCTAAAATAAAAGTAGCCTAACTTACTTCTTATAACATCAGATATCTGCCAGTGAAAGTCCCGTCAAAATCAGTCCAGCCGTTTCGGAGATTAGCCGAAACAAACAGACAGACAGACGGACAAAAATTTATAAATCGTGTTTTTGTTATAAGTACCGTATATATTTTCATATGTATATAGTAAAAAGCTGTTATTTCGACATAACAAACAGACACTTCAATTTTATTTATTTGTATAGATAATTACATCTAAAAAAACTTTTACTAACTTGTCATAAAATTGCTGAAGTAATTATTTAAAAGATATTTTTACTTACAATGCATGTTGCAATTACTCTACGAGTAGATAATAGGTAATATGTACGCGTCTTAGTAGTTTGTATTCCAGGTCAAAACTGTATATATTAGGTATTTATATTTACGTAAAAGTGAATATAACCTGTTGTGAACATCTAATAAATAAATAAATATTATACAATATACAAATAGAGATCTGTTTTTCTTTTTCTAACTTCTATCATATATTAAGTATCTATCGAATTTTCAATTCATCCTCATAGGGTGTAACGATACTTTGAATTGGACAAAAGATTGGAAAACAAGTTAAAGATTAAACTCTTATTTAAAACTAATAACTAAATCTAATCTTTAAATCAAGAGAAAACAGTGGAATTTTTTTTTATAAGATAAAAGTCACCGAGCACGCAGTCCACCGGACAGTAAGTGGTTGCTGTGGCCCATAGACATCTACATCTATCCTTGATTACGAATCAAAATGCAATTACGTTGTCACCTCTGGGGAATAAGATGGAATACCTCATTATAAGTGAAAAGAGTTTCCAGTTCTCTACACTGACCAGACAAAACACAGCAGCGTTAAGCGAAATTTTACGCTGATATGAGAGCGTGGTCCTCCCCACGTCGAGCCGGCCCATTCGTGCTACAACTATAATATAACTGCAGCATTTCTCTACCATTTATTACAGTAGAGTAAAGAGTTTGGCCAACAAGCTCACTGAACAAAAGAGACATTCTTTATTAATTAAAAGATACCAAAGCTCTGCATAAAAGGCTTCCTGATTGATTGTAAGACGTTCAAGAAATTCTACACTTAGTGACTGGCATTATAAATATCATATTTCAAAAAAGCCCGTAACATTATTTTGACAGAAATAAAATAACACATCCGGTACAAATAGGTACAGCTACCAGGTACAATATGTACGTGGTAGAGCCATGCTGCAGCTATTTATAGTATATTAGTAGTATAGTTGTAGCACGAATGGGTCGGCTCGACGTGGGGAGGACCACGCTCTCACAGGATACCAGCGTAAAATAGCAGCTTAACACTGCTGTGTTTCGTATGGTGAGTGTAGAGAACCGGTGACCCGTTTTTCTGGAATACAAGGCATTCCATCTTAGTCCTCACGGGTGACAACGCATCGGCATTTTGATTCTTAATCGAAGATAGATGTAGATGTCTATGGGCCACAGCAACCACTTACCATCAGGTGGATTGTGTGCTCGTTTGTCACCCTTATCCTATAAAAAAAATAACAGAGTCTGAGGCATTTTTCTTTACCCGAATGTCTAGAATTTTCAGTCTGGGAGTGCGATCTTTTCACAAAGGAAACTGAACATAATCTACCCCCAAGGATTGTAACACGAAAATTTTCGTGTACATTATTTTAGCATATTTACGTTATTACATGCGATGAACAGACTTCAGAGCGCCATCTAACGTCATTAGTCCGAAGTAACTAGAAACGTATATTGACGAATCGAGCTAGCTAATTGCATGCAATTGACCTTTCGTGTTAGTTCGAAATCCTACCACGGATCGACGGTGGCGTGTAGCCCAAGGGAGGCCTAGTTCTTTTTGGAGCGAGCCGTTGTAATGATCGGACACGCACATATATAATTTTTGAATCGAAACGCCGGAACATGAATTTAAAGTGACGACTACTTGGGCGTACGGCCCCTTAAACACTATGTCTACGAGCAGTTTAATGTGTTGAAACACATCATCCCATAAATTGTAAGTACTTAATGTTTTTGTCTTCTTAAAAGCACATGTGCTCTAATTAACGGTACACGGTGTTTCATAGATTCTTTTGCCTTGTCATAGGGGTCCTTAGTCCTTAGTCCTTAGTCCTTAGTCCGTACTTTGAGTATGGTCCATTATCAAGTTCAACAATGTGAACGAGGCGAGGCAGCTTCAACGGGTGGCTATATTGGGACTGGGCGGCCAGGAGACCGCGACCGGCGTACACCTGGAGGATATCTGTTGCCTCACTGCTTCGCGGGATTGACCATAAACAGTGTAATATTGTGTAATCCACCAGGTTAGTCAAAACCTCAGTTCGTAGGGTATTTTAAAGTGAAAACTTGATATTTGGAGCTATATAAGTGAACCGTAGAAGGAAATAAACTACTTTTTGTCTGTATATGTAACTTAGCATTTTCATTTACTAATCATCCAACAACAGGCGCCCTGGGATACTTTTATTTTGATCCTCGAGTCCCTTAACTCTCCGACAACCGTAGCCGGTGAGTAACGCCCTAAAAAGTGTTATAGGATATCCAGAAAACACGGTCTTAAGCCATCTGCACTTATCGATTTCCTGCATAACTATATTTTTTTTTTAATTTATATTATTACGTATTATTAAAATAACGTCAATTCCGTGTAGTCTCGGTGTAAGTATATCCACTACCACTTATCATCCCGTAGGTATCGTAAGAGGCGACAGAGGGAAACTTATCAGATGGGCAGCAGCGTCTTCCTAATTACGACTAAAAATAAAGAACTGCGGTTGCCAACCCGCTTGCCAAGCGTGGCAACTATAGCAAATATGAGGCAATCAAATAAATCAAGGCGTGGTAGAGCCAAACTGCAGCTATATTATGGTTGTAGTACTAATGGGTCGACTCAACCGGGGAAGGCCACACTCTCACAGAATACCAGCGTAAAATAGCAGCTTAATGCTGCTGTGTTTCGTATGGTGAGTGTAGACAACCGGAGACCCATTTTCACTACTAACGAGACATTCCATCTTAACCCTCAGAGGTGACAACGCATCTGCATTTTGAATCTTAATCGAGAATAAAAGTAGATGTCTATGGGCCATAGTATCCACTTACTATCAGGTGGAATGTATGCTCGTTTGTTACCCATATTGTATTAAAAAATCTATGGGATACCTATGTCTAACAGTGGACTTTGATAGGCTGTACCGGTAACGTCCCGTGGTTATAACCTCGTTTTGTCCCGCGGGTGTCGTAAGAATCGACTACGGGATATGTCAGGAAGATCGCATGGCTTCCAGTATAACTATTGGTTTACGTTAGACATAAAATACCCGGACCGGTGACGGGGAGCAGCGTCACAACACAAGTTTTCACTAATAACTTTATACTTCCAATTTTCCGATAATTTTATGTCGAACTGCAATTTAAAAAAAGTTTGGATAATCCAAAATAGCACGACTCATAATGCTCATTTATGATCCAATATTTATGATAAAGTCCAAGACGTATTTAAGTATAAATATTACATCCTGCTTACTTTTGTACGTACTACTATTACTTATTCTGTGCTTTTAAAATATTGTAATAAAAATCTCTGATTATTATAATAATCAAGTATGTATGAAATTTCGTTTTTCGAATATTTTGTATATGTACAGCGATCTTTATGAGCCGGTGCAAAGAAGCGATACAGTATCCACTCACGACGGCGGTTGACGCCAAACTAACTGCATGAGTGAGACAGTCTCTATTAAGTAAAATAAATTCATACAAGGCTGCTAAAACACCGAAAATTTCGACATAGTGCAGCCGAAAAAAAAATTATAACTAAAGAAAACAAAATTAAACAGCCATTTACATTCAATGGCTTTCCACATGATAGATGAAGAGTTTTAGAAATAGATTGAGTTGAACAATTGATATTTTCAAAAGTTACCGTGTTTACGAATCCATGCGGACTTGATAAATCCACGTCATAAGCCACTAAAACCCCTTTTTTATGAAAAAATAGTGATTAATCGATTAAAAAAAATTAATAAGTTCAACAATCATTTATCTTTCTGACAATGTGCTTTTTATTTCATTTATAACTAGCTGTTCCCCGCGACTTCGCCCGCGCGTAATTCATTACGATTGGATTTCATGGTTTTTAATTTTTTGCGCGGAACCCTAATACTTTTTCTAAAATAAAAGTAGCCTAAGTTACTTCTTATAAAATAAGCTATGTGCCAGTGAAAGTCCGGTCAAAATCGGTCCTGCGGTTTCAGAGATTAGACGAAACAAACAGACAGACAGACAGACATGCAAACATTTTAAAAATTGTGTTTTTGTTATAAGTATCGTTTATACTTTCGTATGCGTATAGTAAAAAGCTGTTATTTCGACATTACAAACAGACACTTCAATTTTATTTATTTGTATAGATATGATTGCTAGATACGATTTCATGCGACAAAACGTTGGAATACCGATTTTTAGGCGCTAGTAGAACCTACGCGCTTTGCACTTAAAGCATGCAATAGAAAAATGAGATACAGTCAGCCCATTTCTCATGTCAGTAGTGATCAGGCCAGCCTATGGAAATAGCCTTTCAGAAGGCACCAATGTTGAAATTAATAATTGACTCTTTGCAACAAATAAACTTTCCAAACTAAAACTACCCATAAACAACAAAACAAACAAACAATACCACAGACTGTTGGTGTCGAATAAAACGTCAATCTTCTTCTTCTACTTGAAGTGAGTCTGGGAATGTTATCAATTTATCTAATATCGATCGATTAATGAGCGTAAAATAATCGATATAATTAATTATTTCAATTTTAGATTTATAGATCAAGTCACAAAAATTTAACAAGCCATTAATCAATCATTTGATTTATCGAATTGATATCAAACATCGCTAATCCTCTCTAGGATGAAGGCCCAGCAGTGGACTTTGACGGGCTGATGACAGAGAAGAAGATAATATGAAGAAGATTATAATAACGTAAAGAAGGATAATAATCAGGGGCAATCAGTCTTACCAGTCCAGTTTCCTTTAGTTCTACATGGCTAGGCTAGGGCTACATATATTATCAATCTATACTCTGTAGTTTTATTTAATATGTATATACAAGTAAGAGTGACAAATGAACACACATACCACCTGATGGTAAGTGGGTGTTATGTCTCGTAGACATCTATAATATTATTTATGTAGATGCGTTATTACTATTGATGACTAAGATGGAATGCCACATTACCTCTCGAAAAGGGTCTCTGGTTCTGTACACTCACCACACGAAACACAGCAGTCCCTTCCCAGTCGAGCTGACCCATTCGCCCTACAATTGCAATTTAGCTGTAGCATGACTAGACCACATACTGTATTTATTGGACTCAGGCTGCATATTGACTAGCTTCCAAGATTTGGGCACCATTTCAGTCCTAAATGAGACGTCTAGACTCCACAAGGGCTTTAAGAACCTTCCTCTTAGTGATGCGGATCTCCGACATAGAGGTACCGCAGTAAGGTAATTCAAGTAGTACATTGTTGCCACAATCCAAACGTGAATTAAAGACAGAAAGAGACGCGGACAAGTCAGCTTTTTCTTTACACGTATGCAGCGACAGAATTTGTCAAAATATAATGATATCATCACTATGCAGAATGATGACCTTATGATGATTATGATATTGTATATGCGCTATAGCTTCAAGAAGAACACTTTCAACTAGATCAAAACTGTCACAGATAGCAAGTTTTGACCGCACCAAACATCAACTTGCAGTACAACTTCTTGGTCTCTCGCCAAAGCGGTAAAGACACAGTTCTGTCGGCGCATGCGAATAAAGAAAAAGCAGACTTGTTCACGTTCACTTTCAGCGAATTCAATTTATTTGCTTCTTATTTGATGCATTTTTGCTGGCAAATACCCACGCACGCAGGTAAGGCAGGGCGGGAGATGCTTTATTTTATTACGTGGATCTTAGCTAATTAATTTTTAGCGTCTTGAATTTAAGATTTATATCGCGAGTACTATATTTCTTCAGTTGCAGACTGAAGTCCACACACACACACATCATATAATATCGAAAATGTATGACCTTCTTTGTCTTTGTATTTCATTTTATTTGTTTGTTGGGTTTTTGATTTTACTATGAATAGCTACTTCGACGATGGTATAAGTAGCTAATTTGTGACCTAATTAATTTTCAACCCCTAGAAAGTTTCCACTTAACTCTTTAGAGTAATTAAAAACGAAATGAGAATTCATTTACAATTCCCAATTCTTTTTGTTCTTTTGAAAACTTAACTTTAAAAGAACCGGGAATTCCCTGCATTGAAAGTACCAGGATTTCCCGGTCTGAACTAAACCCTAATACTTATGTTTATTTGAAAATGTTAATCATTTCCTTGTGTGTGCTAGTTTACAGGATTATCCCATAAAACATTGAAAGAGTTTGGTCTAGAAGCAGTTGAGTCAACTGCTTCTAGACCCTACAAGGTTTAAGATTTTATACGGTTTTCTCGTAGTGTAATAGTGTATATAGTATGATTTTTTATAGAATAAGAGTGACAAACGAGAACACAGTCCACCTTATAAGAAATGGGTGCTATGGCTTATGGTCTCTTCGACATCTATCCTCTATCAAGAATTAAAATGCAAATGCATTGTCACCCTGAGTACAGATCCAGAGTATGGAACCCATCCAACTGCAGAGAGGTATAAGACAGGGTGATGTTAACATGTATGTCCCTGAATCTCTTCACCACTGCATTGGAAGAAGATTTCAACGGACTGAATTGGAAAGGAGAGGGTATTAACATCATTGACAGCTCCGTGACGCAGTGGCTTTGCATTGAGTTGCAGCTCCAAGAAGTTTGTTTCGTTAAAAAATAATTTCAATTACTAATGTGGCAAGGCCAAATATTTTTCTTAAGCATTCTTATGCATCTGAAAAGAGATCAGATTTGATTTTCACAGCTGAATTTAATTTTTTACCATTCTACCAAGGACGCCTGTGGCCAGCAGTGGGACGTAAATAGGCTGCAACTTACTACTTACTTTACTTTTTCTACCAAGGGGATTATTTTGGTCTAAATTGAATTTGCATGTCAATTCATTTAAAATATTAAACCTAGAGATTCTAAATAAAACTACGGGTCCCCCGTGACCACGAGTGCTGGAAAGCACCCGAAACGTCGGGAATATATAAAAATAAGTTAATATACGCAATAAAATCCGTAAAATTAGTTTTATTTAAAAATGTCTAGAGATTCTAGGTAACATCAATCAGGTTTTGAAAAGATGCTTCTGTGCTTACATTCTGGAAATTTCAACATTGAATGGACAACTACAATCAAGATTAATAAAGATAAATTAAAGGCTATAGTAGAAGTTGAACCACGTCAAAGTACAGCTGACTTAGCAGAAACACATTTGAGGTCAGTGATAAACAATGTTGGTATATCTTGGTCAATTTAGTATCTAGAAAGCAGTAAGTGCCAAAAGAGTTGAACAAAAATATCAATGGCAATATTTATGGCAATAACATGTTTATAACTGAACTATGTTATTGCACCATCACAAAAATTGGTCTTATGCTTTTTTAAAAAATACCAAAATACCAAATTGAAAAAATTGAAAACTGCTCAAAGATCACATTCTGATTTGAAACTTTGTTTATAGTTTCTTTAGCTAGATCCGAGAACCAAAAAAATTCTTTTCGTGACTTTCTACTTAACTTTTTCCAATTAACCGTAATTTTTTCCATGCTGATCAAAAAAAGGAGAAATTATTTGTTATAAAAAAACCCTAACAGATTGTGACAAAGTCTAGACAGAAACATTCATAGAACTATAAAGGAAAAAATATGCCCATTCATGGACAGTTAATTAACTGGTTTTATAATTTATTAAATGGCTATTTAATTCTGAATGCATAATGATAAAGTCGAAAAATATTTTAAAAAGCACCTGAAGTGCATATACCCATGTGATTTTACAACATCTGGCTGATCATTTATTTGAACTACCAAATAATGACTCACAATAATAATGGTGATGACTAACACGAGGGCAGCTGCACGGGCCAGATATGGACTCCGTGCCGTAAGTACTGCCGCCGTTGCTTGCACAATCCACTTCTTCCACATCATTGAAGGCCACTCTCTGATTTCACACGACACTTTCTCCTCAAAACAAACACCATTATGATAAGTTAAAACCATATTTTACTTATTTTAATATTGCACGTCTGTCACATCATCACAATTTACGTTCTAAACACATGTTTATAAATATCGATGAAATATTTGTATTGAAATTTATGTCCACACAACTCTGTTGTCACTTTATGCTAACAAATTGACATTATAGGTACTTTGTGATTGACATTTTCCGTTTTCTGGCTTTGATCTATTTATTGACTATGGTTTGCTAGAGTTGTATTAGGCTGGCTTTTCACTATGGGATATAATATATATTATATCCCGAAATATAAATTATATCCCGCGATTGGCTTTCACACTGTGAGATATATCCATAGATAAATATATATGTAGCAAGCTAGATATATCTTTTAACCAGTATGATAGATATATAGATGTGCCAACTCGGAAAAATTACGACTCGAGTTGAAATTCACGTAACTCAAGTTTAAACTCGAATTACGCAACTCGAGTTAGCAGTACGAAACAGAGTAAATAATTTGCCACAAATAACTTTTATATAAATTTGTTTTTCTATCTAGCTCTTTGGTAGGTTGGGATAACTATAAATACCAAACTTATTATGTTGGATTGACATAGAAAGGTATATTTAGTATCACATACTTATGTATTTTTGGTTTTAAACTTAATTATAGTAAGTACCTTCATTTAACAACAAAACTAGCTATATAGCAGTCCTCATGAAACAATATTAGCCTAGCTTTAAGATGTTGCAGGTACATAAGCTATTAATAGTTTAATTATCATAGTCAAAATATTCTTAACTATTTTTTTTTCAAATTCTTTTATTTTTATTTTTTAAATAGAATAAGGTTGACAAACGAGCATACAGTCCACCTGATAGTAAGTGAATGTTGTAGTCCATAGACATCTACATTTATCCTCAATTAAGAATCAAAATGCAGATGCATTGTCACACCTGAGGACTGAGATGGAATGCCTCGTTTCCAGTATAAAGGGTCTCCGGTTTCCCACACTCACCATACGAAACACAGGAGCATTAAGCTGCTATTTTACGTTGGTATTCTGTGAGAGCGTGGTCCTAACCCGGTCGAGCCGACTCATTCGTGCTGCTACCACAATATAGTTGCAGCATGGCTCTACCACGTAATTCAATATATTTATTGTAAGTTAAGTGTTACATTTAGCGGTAATTTAAAATATTATGTATCTTACAACTTCACCGACGTTTTTGGATAATACAATAATAGGTCTGTGATTTACTGTATTGATTATAATAAATCAAAATTATAAAAGAAATTAAACCACATAACTTAGCTATTATAGAATTCTAAATAACAAATTGTTTTGGTTGTAGCTAAATACTCTTTGATACACAAAGCGCGCACACAACGAACGAATCGCGCGCTTACTTTTTTGCTGGCTGACTTAATCCGTTCACGTACAGCAGCCCAAACTCGAGTTAGAGAGGTCCAACTCGAGTCTAGTTTAACTCGAGTTAGTAACTCGAGTTGACCCATCACTAAAAAGATATATCTCACAATGTGAAAGCCAATCGTGGGATATAATTTATATTTCGGGATATATATAATATATATTATATCCCATAGTGAAAAGTAGAGGTGAAACGGATATCCGGTCACTATCCGGTATCCGGCCGGATAGGCCGGATACCGGATAAAAAAATATAAAATATCAAATTTAGTTAAGTACCTACTTTATTTATGTCACTTAACAAATAGAATCAGTAATCACAAAATTTTCATTTTATATCTTAGAAATTTAGTACTCGTACTGCACTAAGGGCAAATTATGGAGAATAAATACTAGTTTCTCTGCATTGAAAGGTAACAAGCGGTTTCGCCTGTCTTCATAAACAACGCCAGCTTCAGAAAAAAGTTTTTTGCTGTACACACTGCTGCAGGGTGCTGAAAGATAGATTTTGGCAAACTTCGATAAATTAGGATATTGTGTAGCATTAGCTGCCCACCAAATATAAGGGCCACGATCGCGAGCAATTCGCACTGACTTTAGATACAAATCAATTTCACATGAAATCGCGTTTTTTTGCTTTATGGTGAGACTGGCTAGTATTATTTTCATTTCCTACTTCATTGAAGTAATCCCAGAACGTGTAATGAGCTTCGCGATATACAGCTGATATGTCTCCTCTCCTCTACTTTTTTTTAGCCGGTGTTGACGATGAACTGGAGGACTCTTCGCTAGACATTTTTAAGTACTCCAGTAGAATTTACTGGCAAGCTCTTTCAGCTACAACCACGTGAAATTTTAACATTGCATAGTAAACAAACAGCAAGCTTAGGATCATCACTATCTATATCAAAATGTTCACATAAAAGCGATCTTTTCTTTATCGATGTCATTTTGTCGTTAAATCTGTTAAGAGTTACAAAAATCAAATAACAAAGCACGCATTTTAATAACCTCAAACGATCGTGTTTGCAATCAATAGAAGTCAATGAACCAATTGCTAACTTCGCTCATGAACGAAAAGACCCGAAGTCGCCCGAGTACCGCGTGCACACGATCACCACCACTAGCGCCACCTACGCAACTTCGCTGCTTGCGATGTACTAAACGGCAATGTTCGGCCGAATATCCGGTATCCGGTATCCGGCCAAACAGCTATCCGTTTCATCTTCAGTGAAAAGCCAGCCTTAATCTATGCTTAGTTATCTGGCAATGGCAACACTAATATTGGCGGCTTGGCGGCATTATTGTTTTAATTGCTGTTGTTGTTGTTGAGTTTGCATGAAGATCAATTAATAATTGTGATTAAACTGAATAGATCACCACAATTTCGATAAAATGGTGCAGAATGAGAGTGAAACTTGGTCTTCTGAAGATACATTAAGGGTTTTAATTGCGTCAGATATCCATTTAGGTTATTTAGAAAATGATGCTGTTCGTGGTGAAGACAGCTTTATCGCTTTCGAAGAAGTATTATCATTAGCTGTCCAATACGACGTGGATTTTATTTTGCTAGGTGGAGATTTGTTCGATCACGCAAAACCCTCGCCCAGTTGTATGTACAAGTGTACAGAAATCATTCGCAAGTATTGCTTTGGTGACAAGCCGATCGGAGTAGAACTGTTATCTGACCAACTACAAAACTTTTCTCGAGTGATTAATTATGAAGACCCAAATTTAAATATTTCATATCCTATATTGTCAATTCATGGCAATCATGATGACCCTGTTGGACAAGGCAGTATAAGTTCCTTAGATATACTCTCCATAACTGGGCTTGTTAACTATTTTGGTAAATGGAGTGATTACACCCAAGTTAGAGTGTCACCTGTACTCATGCAAAAAGGGGAAACGAAAGTGTCCCTGTATGGTTTAAGTCACCTCAAAGATCAACGCCTTTCACGCTTATTTGGAGAGAAAAAAGTAGAGATGGATCTTCTTGAAGACAACAATGACTGGTTCAATATTCTAGTGCTTCATCAAAATAGAGCTGACAGAGGACACAGTAATTATATTCCTGAAAGTGTGTTACCTAAATTTTTGGACCTGGTTATCTGGGGGCATGAGCATGATAGTCAAGTGTTTGCTATAAAAGATATAAAAAGAGAGAATGAGAACTTCTGTGTGGTCCAACCAGGCAGTACTGTTGCTACATCTTTAGCTGCAGGGGAAGCCCTACCAAAGCATTGTGTCTTACTACAATTACATAAAAAAGAGTACATATTAACTCCTCTGCCTCTGAAAACTGTGAGGCCCTTTATTTTTAAAACTGTTGTTTTGTCTGAAGAAAATTTAGGTGAGGATAATATTAAAGAAAATGAGAGAGTACAATCTTTTTTAAAAGGAAAGGTAGAAGAGGCTATAGAAGAAGCTAACAAAATTCGTAGTGGTGATCCTAAACAACCAAAACTTCCCTTAGTGCGGCTCTCTGTATTTTATGAACATGAGGGACAAGATTTTAATCGAATTAGATTTGGTCAAAATTTTAATGGTATGGTGGCAAACCCCAATGATATCCTAATCATGAAAAGGGAAAAAAAGATCCGAGAGCATAAAGAAAAGGAAGAAGTTGAGGAGGTCGATATGGGGCGAGCAGCAGTAGAAGCAAATGACGTTGAATCCCTTCTTCGTACATATTATGCAGCTGTACCGCCCGAAAAGCGCCTTGCCGTATTATCTGTAAGAGCCATTACAGAAGCCGTTCGTGATTTTACTTTGAAACGGGATGATGGTGTGTTCCGTCGCGTTTTGGAAGGCCATAGGCGGCGCTGCGTCGATTTCCTACTCGAATCTACAGCTGAAACGGAAGACGAAGTAAAGCAGCAAATACGTTTGTGCAAAGAGAGTTTGGATGCTACGGATGAGGAACAGTTAAAGGGTATAATTGAGAAAGCTGCGAGTCGTCCTAAAGTAGTAGTAGAAAGTGATGAATCGGAACCAGAGTTGGAGCAGTCAACGGAGAGTGGAAGGGGTCGTGGGAGGGGTACGCGAGGGCGGGCGGCGCGGGGGCGGGGCCGGGGACGAGGTCGGGCAGCTGCGGTGGAGCCGCCCTCACCATCTCCCGAGCGCCGGACGCCTCGCCGTTCGGCTGCTCAAAAAACCACTATGTGGCTGCAGAACCTAACTGCCGAAAGAAGTTCACGACGGCGTCGGGACTCTTCAGAAATTGAAATCTCCGATTAAGTTTTGCGACTGATTTTACTATTATTTCCATATTATATTGTTACACATAGGTTTATACATGTTTACTACTATATTTTGTGATATATAAATAAAAAAACATTTTGTAACAATATGGTTTATCTCTTTGAGTCTTCTAGTCAGAGTCCTTTTTATAGATTATTGCACTACATGTAGATGAGAATTCACTACATGTAGATGAGAATTGCATTTATTACCATTAAAATAGTAAATAAAAGAGTTTTCTTATAAATAAAATATACCAATTAACAAAAACATATTTATTTATTTTTGTAATAGTTAGATTCATGCAAACAAACTTATTATTATAATAGTTAGGCACTTATAATGTAAATAAAATATTTATTTGAAGTTCAGAAAAGCAACTTGGAGGACTTTTATTATTCACAAAATATGATTGTGCAGAAATAGTTTCTCAACATGCTTTCTTTGACCATAAAACATGTGCCAAATCAGCAGCAGTAATTAAGATATTAATGAAAATAACAGTGAAAAAAAAAAATGTTAGTGATAGCAAACATAGGTAATAGAAATATAAAAGAATTCAATTAAATGTTGAAATTATGCTATAAGTTATAAGTAATATTGCTTAAAATCTATACTCTATACTTCTTTTGTCATTGAAGTTTTAAATGGCTGGAACAATCTTGATTTTTTTTTGCGTTTTCAAGTGCGTTTTTAGGTGGTTTAGATTTACAATTAGACCCAGGAGGTCACGCTGTGATTGAGATTCACAAATCACCTGTGCAAAGCTGAAGAGGATTGCTTGTATTTGAATGAAATCCATCAGCATTGAGGATCAAAGTAAAGTTGCTCAATTACAATAGTTTTGAGCTTCTTTTTAATTAGTAATTTGCACCAGAAAGTAAAAACTAATAACATAAAAACCCTAGCATTGGAGGAAAACTGGTGTTACCTATAGCATACATCATATCATAGCACCCATAGCATTGCATCCAGAGCAGATTAAGTCACGTAAAGCCAGTTCAGCATGCTCACAGACTCATTTTTCAAATAGTCACTAGCAAGTGTGGAAAACTTGTGTCACATCCAAGGCTGTGTGCGCAGAGCGAGCGGGGCGGGCGCGTGGTGGGGCGCGGGGTGTGGCGTGGCGGCGAGCGCGCGGCGCAGGTAGCGCAGCGCGGCGGCGGCGGCGGCGGGCGCGTCGCGCGCGGCCAGCGCCACGGCGGGCGCGGCGGGCGCCAGCGACAGCACGCACAGCGCGCCGCGCTCGGCCGCCAGCTCGGCGCGCTGCACGCTCAGCCCCAGCGCGCTCGCCACGCCCGCCAGCGCGCGCTCCGCCTCCTGCTCGCCGCACGCCTCCAGCGCCTCCAGCGCGAGTGCGAGCTTCTCCGAATCTAACACAATACAATCACTTTCATTCAATTTTTTTTTTATACAATAGGGTGATAAACGAGTACACAGTCTACCTGATGGTAAGCGGTTGCTGTGACCCGTAGACATGCACATCTATCCTCAATAAAGAATCAAAATGCAGATGCGTTGTCACCCGTGAGGACTAAGATGGAATGCCTCCTTTCCAGTAAAATAAGCCTCCAGTTCCCTACACTCACCATATAAAAACACAGCAGTGTTAGCTGCTATTTTACACTAATATTCTGTGAGAGCGTGGTCCTTCCCCTGTCGAGCCGACCCATTCGTGCTACAACTATGCTACTAATATAGCTGAAGCATGGTTCTACCACGTAATAATATACATTACACGAATACTTATTAAAAGTGATTTAAGCTTCCCACTGGTTAGTTTGCTTAAGGAAAGGCATATTCTGCACGAGCTCACGCCTGTATAACCATTTACCAAAATTTATAAGAAAATCTAAAAGCCTTCACATTTTTAATTATCAACTAAACAGACTTTTAATCATAAAGGCGTATTATATGTTTGACAATTTTTAACATGAAACTATGAAATTGATTGAATAGAACCACAAAACTTTATCTACATCATTTAATTTTAAAACATTATAATTGTTACAGTTGTTACAGTATTATGTGTTAAATTGTTATGATATTAGTACATAATACAAATAAGAATGTAATAAATAAGTAAAATATATACTAAAAAGAACTAAATAATAAATAAAAATGCTGCATTCGACAATTAGGTATTAATATTATACGATTAAATTATTTCTTATGTATTATCTTATGTATTGGTATTTAATTTACAATGCACATTTGCGTAGGAATTCATCTCGGCCAGTATGTAACGCTTTTACTTATTTCATTCATTTCAGTAAACAAGACTGCTAAGCGTGAAATTTCAGTTTCGAATCCCATCGGGTCAAAATCAGTTTTTGCATTTTCCTATCAAGAAATTCTAAGTAGCAGTCCAAAGTCAGGAAAGTAGCGATATTTCAGACACCTTTTCAGTCGTGTCTTGATTTCCGTACCATCGGACTATAAGAGGGAGGGAATAGAGAATGCGCATACACTTAGGCACTATAATCTTGTCCCGCGCAGATGGCTGGTCTCTACTGAGACTAGCCGCCGTGATTCGGTTCGGTTCGGGATTCGGAGGACATTATTATTATTTATTATACTTTTTTTTATAAAACTAAAATGACAAATGTAATTACAGCACACCAGATATAAGGCTCCTGCGACCCCTGGACACGTACAACAAACTCAAAACAAAAAATATACAGATGCATTGTCACCTCTCACCACTGAAATTTAATACCTCACAACCTCTCAATACCTTTCAGACCGAAACAAAACAGTGTATGCACTGTTGCTTGGAGATAGAAGTAGATAAAAGAGTGGTACCTACGCAGACAAGAAGCTGTCTAGGTATAACGGAGTTCTGTACTTGTGAATGATTAAGACATTCAGTGCAATAACATACTGTAAGGCACTTTGGCACTGTGGTTGCTGCCTTGCAATTGCCATTTACTGAACTAATAATAATAATTCACTCAAAAATAAAAAAAAATACAACACTTTAAGATATGCTATTAGAGAATCCACTGCCTCATGTCATCACATGGATGTCGTAAGAGGCGACAGAGAAAACTTAATGATAAATTTCTCCCCAATAAGGCAATCTAGGGGGAAGGTCTATGTTCAACAGTGGACTTTTCATAGGCTGTAATGAGAATGATAAATACATGTTATATGGTAAAATACATGTAAGGCTAAGAATTTCTTTTCTATAACCATGCACCAAACAAATCATTGCTAGTATGTAATCAAAACAAGAACTAAAAACCTCGCTTTTCACTACGGGATAATATTATAATGTAATTTATATTATATCTCGACATATAAAATTAATATCGCTCACCGTACATTTAATAGAACCGTTTACACTGAGATGTAATATATCTATATTACATCTTGTTCGCGCCAAACGCTGTTGTCGGAATCGACGTCTAGGGGGCGCGCGGCTCGGTGCCATACCGGTTTGACAGTTGGATGTGTCTAGCGCGCGCGAGTGCAAATCAGTCGTCTGCCAGCCGTGCTTGGAACCGCACGCTGTCATTTTTATCGGGAACTCGGAATAATTAGGCGCGGCCAGTAAATATACGGTCTAGGATTTGTGACGCGCATTCTTTGATGGAGAGCTACCCAGGGACTCATTGTGTATGACTCAGAATCTGCATAAGTGCACTCGGCAATATTAGCTAGTGCGGCCTTTGATATTCTAGAAATAACTGTTGCTACGCGAAACGGTAGTGTTTGATCCGGACACTCCGTGTTTTTTTTGTGCGTTAACCTTATAACAAACGAGAGTTAGTGGCTTCTGTAAGTTAGTTAATCGTACGATAGAGTTAATGGACTGTCATCGTGACGAACGAAGAAGTGGTCCGGCGCCGAAGCAGTCTGAAGCGGTGCAGCATTTTGGAGCAGTCTGAAACTCGGCCGCTGCTGGTCGCCTATGCTTGACAAGGCCCCACACATTCACACCCCACTGTACACTACTCGCCATCCACTATTACACACACTCACGGCCTGCCCAAGCCTTGGTGCGAAGTTAGCTTCGGATAATGGTAAGTACTATGTGTTTCTAGCTTCCTCCCATATTGTTTATTGTAATTAGGAAATTCCACGCGGCCATACTGAGGCCCGACCTACGTCTGTCCGTTGAAACTTCGCTGATGGGCCCCGCAGGATTTGACCTTTAGGGGAGCAGCCATAGGCCGTAACATTCTGGCAGCAGAGCGTGGTTCCGGGTTCGATTCCCCGGTCGATCCCGACCATAGTGTTTGATAAAAATTAAACAATTCTGGTGGCAGGGAGCGTTGGTTTGATTGGTTTAATTTGTATCTACAATCATGCCCGTCCGTAATACGTAAAAATATTTTTTGTACGTAATAATAAAATTATTTTCCTTTGTTGCTTGCCTTTTTTTTGGTTAGTGGATAGATTGAAAAGCCGCGCCCTAGGTTGCGCAAGCGGGAGTTTTTCTAGAGATATACGTCATGTAGGTAGATGGTTATTTTTACGTAATCGGTTAATTATCATTGTCGGATAGTTGTAGTGGATTACTTATCGAAGGGTCGATTTCCGAGCTAGGCATTTTTTGTTGATCGACCGTGATGTGTATCTTCGTTTATACTGTAATTTGTATTTGAACTAAAGAGTAGTAATTTGTATTTGCGCCATTTGAATTTAACTTGATTTGATCACACTAGTATTTGTTAATTTGATTTGTGTCTTTTCTTTTGTGCTAACTTGTATTTGGTTGATACGTAGTAATTCGTATTTGTGTAATTTCTATTCAACGCGATTTGATAGGAACTGCAGTTATCTTTGTAATTTGTATTTAGTAGTGATGTCATCACCCAAGCTACTAATCCGTTGCCTGCGGACTGAGTTACGCTGGAACACAAGCGCCCATGCTTTGATATGTCGACCGGATAGGGTCTATAACTTGATGAAGCGGTTCGAGCAGGTGGATGCTCGAAGGGCCGCAGTGGATGAGGCTTACGCTGAGCTCGAAGATTCGGATGTGGAGAAGGGAGTCCTGGACTCCTGCTTCGTGGACTATGAGCAGTTCTTTTCGCTCACGGACGAGTTGATCGAGGCTGAAGGCAGGTATGCCGAGGAGGCGTGTGAAACTCGGCTGAGTGACCTGCCCGAGTCCTCTCGGAAGCAGCTTCAGTCGGAGCTGTTGGGACGACTCCCAACTCTGGACCTGCCAAAGTCCTCCGGGGTCCTTTCCGAATAGCTGACCTTCGTTGGTCTTTTCGACAGCCTAGTGGACGCCCGGAGTGACTTGACCCCGAGCCAAAAGATGGCGTACCTCCTGGCCTTACTGGAGGGGAGGCCCTGGGCGTCGTCGGCCACTTGAGATTGTCAGACGACGCCTACCAGACTGCTCGGGACCTCCTAGCCAGAAGATACGCCAACGTGCGGCGAATTGCGGACGAACATGTGTAGCAGCTTCTAAGCCTCCCGCTGCTTAGTGACCGGGCCAGACTGCGTCCGGACCTGTTGGATCCAGTCCTGGTGGCCTGTAATACGTTGAGGCGGCTGGATTTACCAGTGGGCGAATGGGCTTTTTTGTTGCTCCGCATCGTGCTGTCACATCTACCTCTCGACCTTCGAATCCATTTTGAGGACAGGTACGGTGGGGACGAGGCCTCTTATATTCCGCCCTTCTATGACCTGCTGCGGTTTTTGGAGGAGTAGTGCCGGCAGATCGAGAACGCGACGGGCGCCGTTGACGACTTACGAGCCGTGCCCAGTGAGAGGCTGAATCCGCCAGGCACGTCGTCGTCAACCCCCCCTGCTCCTATTGTCGAGCATCTGATCACTGGGTAACGTCGTGCCCGAAATTATTAGGTAAGCCGGTTCCGGCGAGGCGAACTATCGCCAAGGAGCGCCGCTGGTGCTGCTCATGTTTGGAAGGGCACCTCCAGCGAGACTGTCCGCATCGGGGGCTCTGTCTGCATTGCCAGGGCAATTACCATGCAGTTTTGTGCCTGGGTACGAACGGCGTCTCTTCTCGGGGCTCTGCCAGGCCCTCGACCCCCACGGGCAGAGGCGCTCAGCCACGCCCTCTGCCGGGCGACTCTCGGCGCCCGCCGGCTAGCCACCGGGCCCCTAGGTTTGGAAGGGGTCCCTCCCCCGACCAGTCGGGGGGTAATTCCCCCAGGGGTGGGGGTGTCATCACCCCCCTCAGCGTGTGGAGAGGAACTTCACGGCCACTCATCGGTCCGCTGGACCCTTCTCATTCCCGTTAGCTGAGTGAGTGGCCGCGACTGGTGTACCACTGTTCCCCATTTGATGGAGGCGGCCCTGGCTAGCTGCCGCCTTAGCTCCCACCACGGCCGCCTTCACTGAGCCTTAAGCCGTCAACAGTCCACTTGTCAAAATGTTCTGTTGCCGA